GACCTACCAAATTAGGATATATTTCTTTGCTCTAAGTCTCAGTTTTCTTAAGTGTAAAACAGGGATAGTATTATTAGTTGCCTCACAATTTGCTGAAACTTTTTAAATAAGTCCATGTGATGAATGTAGAACAACAGCTGACACTGAGTATTAGTTATTAGAGTCCAGTGTCCTCTTGATCTCCTTTCATTGAATGGATGTCCCCAATGTCAACTGGAACTCAGAAAAGAGTAGAGATGTTCATATACCACAGTCAGGAACTCCTGCTCCCCCTTCTCTACCTCTGCTCCATTGCTTCTGGAGGTGAGGTCCCTGGATTGATCATCAGCATCCTCTGGGAACTTGTTAGACAAGCCACTTCTTGGGCCCCTCCCCAGATCTTCTGACTCTCCAGTAGGCTGAGTGCACACTCAAGTTTGAGAACCAAAGCTCTATTCCCTCTGGGAGGCTAATGGGGGAACTTCAGGGTGCCCCCTGCAGGGTGGAGGCCCCCTTAGGCGTCCTTATAAGGAAAGAATTCAACTATGTCCTCAGTGAGCAAATACGTCCCCAGAAACAATCTCACCAGCAGCCCTATGTGATAAGTGGGCCATAGATCCACCTGACTTTCCTTTTCCCACCTGTGGTCTGACTCAGTTATTTATCACCTTTCTCTGGTACTGGCTTCCTGGGTGGCACTGGTGGTAAAGAACCCACATGCAATGTAGGAGACATACTGAGACATGGGTTCAATCCCTGGGTCGGTCCCTGGCTGGTCCAAGAGCATCGGTGTTTACAATTAATTGATCACCACCAGGTACAGATTTCTCTGGAGGAGGAAATGGCAACCTACTCCAGTATTTTTGCCTAGAAAATCGCATGGACTGAGGAGCCTGGCAGGCTATAGTCCATGGGGTTGCAAAGAGTCGGACATGACTGAGTGACTAAGCAAGCAAGCCTGGTACTGATCCCCCAGTTTTCCTTCCGTCCTGACACCTTCGGAGAGAGGGGGGATGTCAGCAAGGACTCACAAATATCTGCCAAGGACGCCTGATGCAAAGGGCTTCTTGGACTCTGGGGGAGATTCTGATTTTACCAGCCCCTCCCATCCGGTGTTCTAGGACTCAAGACATTTTCAGGGCCCAGAATCTTGGTTTTCACCATGACATTTACAGAGCAGCTAAGCCTGCTCATTGAAAATCATCCAGGGCTTGGCAGGCAGTACTGTGGCTGGCTGACCTCCAGCAGTTGGCAAACAGTATGCCACATTAAATGTCACTGTGGGCTTTGTTTGGTTCTAAATTGAAAAATTGCTGGAGTTATGAAAGCTTACAAACCTCACAAACCTGGGGATGAATTATGTCCTGCTTTTCTTTGTCTCCTGCACAGACTACATCACCAGGGAAAAACCAGAGCCCCCTGCATCCCTCTCTCAACTCATACCCCTGTCCTACTCACACGCTGAAGGGCATCCAACAGCCATGGAGCCCATGACCAAGAGTGTGTTTCCAGAACTCCTCTTGCTGGTGAGAAAGAATGTGGAACCGTTACTAATTCAAAGCAGATCTGACCTAGCTACAGACCCCTACACACTTTCCCAGGATCCTCTACCCTCCCTTTGTCTTTGCTTCTGAAAAGGAATGTTCATGCTCATTTGTATATAACCATCCATCACCAGCAGAATCGTAGTCTGGGTCTTAAAACTGGAAGGGCATTCAAGGGCACGGGGGTCTAGACTACGGCTTTCAAGCTGGTAGGTTTACTGTTCCGATTGTCCACATAACAAAGTTGAATCCAGAAAGTAAGTAACTAGCCCCCAGTCTCACCATGAGTAGGTGCAGAGTTCAGACCTGGGGCTCCCACCTCTGCCTTTCTCCCCTTGATCACAGAGCCTCTTTCCCTCTGAGATCAGACCCCAGAACTAGAAGCGAGTTCTTCAATCACTCTACCCTTTCCAGTTGTAGCCCGCAATGACGTTTTCTCACATGCAATTTCATCAACAGAATTAATCCAAACGGATCATCATGTTTTTGCTGTTGTTCAGCCAACTCCCTCCTGCTAGCATGTTTCACCTCTGGAATGAGGACACCTTGCTCTGGGCGCAGGTGTGAGCCTTTGAGCGCCCATTTGCTGATATTTAGGTCAGGAGGAGGCAGGGTCGTGCATGTTTCCTGAGCTGACTCTCCTCCAAGAGGCTTGGAAGAAGATGACTGCCAGGAAGACCAGCCCACAATGGCTGATCCAAGGAGGCCAGAGGACTTGGAGTCTAAGAGTGGCTGAGACCTTCATTGTGCCCTGTTTGTCCCCACTTAACCTCCTTGTTTTGTTTTTTTTTGTTTTAATCCTGGGAGAGGGAAAAAAAAAAGTCAGACAAAAAATTCTCTGGTTAGTATGTAGAACCAAGGGTGCCCCAAATCAGCTTGTTTTTCCCAGCCTCTCTGATTCTGAACCCCTTTGTGCCTCCTCCTGGGTACCAACTAGGAAACTGTGTGAGGTGGTGTGAAGGGTCCTGACCTGGCCACACAAGCTATCCTGTGCCTTTTGTCACTCAGTTCACTCATCTGTGAAACACGCCACTGTGCCCTTTATGGATTAACTGTAAAGTAATGTAAAGAGCACGGTGGTACCCACCAAATATCAGCTCCATTCCTGATAATACAAGTGCATTTTTCCAATTAAATGAATTTGCATTATAATGGGGGGGCAGCATCTATACTAATCATTGCTAAAGAGATGAATCTCTAATGGTGGATTCCAGGCCTTGGCAACAAGTCCAAGAAGAGAGTAGGCGATGTAGCTGGAGCAGGCAAAGGACCCTAACAACATAAGTTCAAAGGTCAAAGAGGCAGAGGAAGGTAAAGTCACAAGGGAAGCAGCTGGGACTTTAATAGCTTCGTCTGTCATTCTTCACGTGTGGAAAGGCCCCTGGTTATCACAAGGTGGCTCTCTGTGTCACTTTAGCGTGCATTTATTGAGCTCCTGCTGTATGCTCTGTCCCCAACAGTTGCCAACGTCTTTATTTCCACTTTGTCCTCCTCCTAACCAAAACTGACCCCACCCCTTAGTCTCTCTTATCCTATTTCCTCCAAATCCTTCCACCAAACCCCACCAACCAATCTCAGCTGCCCCTATAACTGCCTTGTTTGAATGAACATCATGAGAAAGCCTGCCCCTTGGGGCCAGCACAGGGCACAGAGAACCACCAAACTAGTGCGAAGGCCCCTGCTACCCCCATTGAAAGAGACGGGCAGAGACAGGTAAGATTCATCTCCCATGAAAGGCATTTCCAGGGCATTTCTCTGGTGACAGATGAACCAGTCAGGAAGATCCGTGCCCCTCCTGGGTTGAACAGATTCTGTCCACTTCTGATTTCTAACTAAACCTCAAGAACAGGCAAGTTTTCTAGAAAGACCAGGCTTCCTTCTAACCTTCCAAGATGTTCTTCTTCCCTTCGGCCACTTGCATGTTTCTCTCTTCAGAAGAGTGCTTGTAGAGAGTGGAACCTCTTTGAGCATGGAGGAACTCAAGTCCATAAAATGTGGCTTCTGGCTCTTAAAATCTGTGTCAATAAATGTCAGAAAAATTGCTACTGGCAGGTAGGGAAACTTTACAAAATTAAGTGTGAGCACTTTGGATCTCTGCACTCATCATTCCGAGCCTCTGACTCTGAAGCCAAGGGTTGGCCCCTGTCATGGAGTGCCAGGACTGGATTGGAAGTATCAGTGTACATCCCATAGACCATCAGAGCCCCAGTAAGACCTTAGCAAGGATATGCCAGCCTCCTCTTGGGGGCCATCTGGATAGACTGACTCACCTTTGGGAACAGACAGTGAGTCTCACACTAGGATAATGTCCTTCACTGGAAAAGCGTGCCTGGGCTACATGTACACTGCCAAGATCAAGCATCTCTGCACAGCCTCAAGGCTGTCTGTCTGCCTTATGTCACCTTTCACCACTCCCTACCTTACATTTTGTGCTCCAACAGGACCAAACCACTCAGAGGTCTCCACTTTATTTGTTGCCTCTGTGCTTTTGTGTAGGCTTGCCTTGACCACAATGTCCTATTCCCCACTCCATGTGTCCCTGGGTAACTTCTACCTACCTGTTAGGATCCACTTTAGGTATCACTACCTTTAGGAACTTGAATGTGACCATGATTATGAATGTGTTGGCCTCCAAACCCAAGGAGACCTAGGGTTGAATCTCTATTCATTCTCCCTAAACCTCAGTTTTCTTATTTTTAAAATGGAAGTGATAACATCAAATCTACAGCGTTGTTAAAGAAAGCTGTGAAGGACTCGGTGTAGCTGACACATAGTATTCAGTAGCCATTTCCCTTGTTTTCTGATTTCTCCACTCTGCCCTTCCATCCTAGCATGGGATGGGTGACTATCACTATTATTCTATGTGTGTGCAATTTAGAAATATACATTATTGAAGTATAATTTACATACAATAAAATGTATGCATTTTAAATGTGTACATGTTTTACTGAGTTCCGACTTGTGAGCACCTGTGCATACCGGTGTCTATGGAACATTTCTGTCACTCCTAAAGCCTTCTTTGGGCCCTTCCCAGTTAATCCTCATGCCTCTATTTCTGGGCCCAGGCAACCATGATCTCTTTTTACTGCTAGAGATCATATTAACTTTCCTAGAGCATCACATAAATGGAATCATACAGTATATATTCCTTTGTGCTTTGTTCACTCAGTATAATCCGTTCACTCTGTTTTGAGATCCCCTGCATGCTTCAACAGTAATTGGTCCTTTATAGCTTTGCTTTTAACTTTGTATTTTAATTAATTTGCTTCCTCCACTAAACTCTGAAGCCCTCAAACATTCTTTTTCTTCTCTGGTTCCCAAAGAGGTACTCAGTAAATGTTAGGGAGAAGAAAGGAGGGAGGACATGAGAGAGCTGTCATGGGGACTGGCGAAGAAGATCTTGGCACAACCTTGCATCTTGTCCACCCTTGGGTGGCAGTATTCACATTCCCAGCAGAACCACACCCAGACACTTACAGTAGCCAGTCCACAGCCACCAGCAGGCTGATGTCCTCGGTCGGCAGGCCTACAGCCGTCAGAATGAGGAGCATGGTGACCAGCCCCGCACTGGGAATACTGGCTGCACCAACGCTGGCCAGTGTCGCCGTGAGGCTGTGAGAACAGAAAAGGTCAGGTCAAAGGAAGAGAACGTAGCCTTGCCAAAACCGTGATATCACTGGCAGGTAATTTTAAGCTCTAGTTTTCCCAGCAGTCATAAAATCCCCTTTTTCCTCCCAAGAAATAGAGAAATCTGGACTACCAAGACCCAGGAAATAGGGTCTATTTGGATTTTGCTCAGCCTGATGGAAGCTTACAAATTCATGAATCAGAGTCTTGTCCCCATCATGACATGCAAATCGCCAAGTATATCACAGGGCTCATATAAGGTAAGCATGGCCCTAAACGCAGGCAAGGAAATAGTAAAGAAGAAAAACAAATCACCCTTAATCCTTCCACAGGAGCACCACTGCATTCATTTCTGCTTACGTCTTTATGTCTCTGTGAGAAACAGAGACTTCTAGACTAAGTGGCAAGAGTCTGAGGAGGTCATTGCCAACATTAACATGAGAACTCGGAATAGCAAATATCCAGACTCAATTGAGTGGACGTCAGGGAAACAAACTGACAGAATTCCAAATGACATTAAGCTTTAGATGCCTGGACATTCCACCATGGGCTGGAAAATACACTATTCAGAAAGAGGGTGCCAAGGAATGCTAATAAAACAATGGGAGACCTTCCTCCTGAAACATCTCATTCCTTGCTTTGCAAGGAATGCCAAGGGCATCCCAGTGCCATTTTGAAGTTGTCTCTGGAAACGAGTTTAATCTAGGGTTCAAGCACCCCATCTAGACACCAGAGGGCCTCTGTGGTCCAGCAAAGGACAGTGACATTTTCTCCCTCTATTTTGGATGCTATTTATAAAAGCTCTCATTTCTGAATGGACAGTTTATGAAAATATGGATTCTGAACTTGCTTTTCTGACTGCTGGAAAGAAAAAGGGGGCTGCTTTCTCTGTGGTTATATAAAGTTGGTTTGTTTTTTTTTTAACAGTTTTTATAGAGTTTTTACAGTAGGTCTTCTGGCTTCAAACAAAGAATCAGACTCCCAAACTGGTTTGCCAGTTGGTATGTCCATGTATAGAACCCTGGTATCACAGTCAAAAGGAATCTGAATTTACCTAATCTTACACATGAGGAAAGAAAGTTCCCAGGAGGTTCTGCGGTTTGCACTGGTTTTTCCATATTGCCATCCTCCCCCCACTTAGGCTTATCACAAAACAGATACTCCTCCTAGGTGGGATTAGAACCCATCTTTGCTTTTACCCTGCCCCAGCAATATGGAGCTGATGTAAGGGTTTAAAGAGCTCCATTTTGGGGGGGTGGAGGGGCATCCCCTTAGGTCATAGGAGAGAGTAATTAGTAGTGGTTATCAGAGAAGGTTCTCAAGTTGAACGACCCAGCTTCAAACCCCAATTCTGCCACTTATTAAGCACGTGACTTTGGGCAACTTATTTAACCTCTTTGTGCCTTGATTCCCTTATCTGTAAAACAAGAGTTAATAATGGGGTCTCACTCATGGAGTATGCAGGAGCTCAGAAATTAAGCACTTAGAAGAGGCTGGCGCACTGCAAATTCCCCTCCCCCTAATACATGTGAATTTTTATTCTCATTGGGAAATCTGGGCAGGATGAGGCCGCTTTGCGAGGAAAACGTCCCTAAAGTCCCGAGAGCTGGCAGGTGGGAATCCTCAGCCATTTCCCCAAGATGGACAGAACACACGAGGGAAGGGGAACTTCCCAAGTTCCAACGGTCTTGGTGGAGGCTGTTTTGTTTAAAACCTCAGTTGCTTCTGTTCTATGAGTCACTCTTACACATCCCTGGGTACCGTGGCCACGTTGTTACCCCTTGGTGTGTGAGACAAACTTGTATAAAGAAATCTTCCTGGAAGTTGGTTCTCTTTCTGTTCCTCCATCTCAGTTATTCCCTGACCCGAACATAGACGGGCTGTCTGTGGAACTCCAAGTCCTGCAATAACCCCTGGGCCGAGATCTTCCCTCTCTGTATCCCTTTCCGCTTTCCACGGCCTCCCGCTCCTCTGGCTCACTCCTCTGGCTGGTTCTTGGATGTTGTACAAAATACCACACACACATTAATCACAGCAGGACCTCACAGTAACCCTGCAAGGTACATCTGGTTGTACCACCAACTGGACGGGCGGAGAAACTCAGGGTCACTCAGCCTGTCCATGGTCTGCTGGGATTTGAGCACGTGTCTGCTCAATTCCAATGTCATGCTGCCTTTTTATGTCTCTTGATCCCTTCTCACACTGAACTCTAAGACTTAACAAATTTGCTGAGAATTCCTGGCCACTGTTCTGTTACATGCATGGAAATGAGAAGATAATAAATGTACTTGGAAGCGCAGCAATGAAGCTAGACTTGGCTATTTTTCTCTGACTAAATTGGAACTACATATACTTCATATACTATGTAGTAGCCAGGAAACTACTTAACTACATATACTACATATACATATACTACATATGAACTACATATATTCCATGGCGGGGGGGTTGTCTCCCAGAGACAGCCCTTGTGATGTCTACAAACATAGCAGATTTGGTTGAACTTGCCAGGGCCACCAGTATTGAATATATTTGGCCAACTTTATCCTTGTCCAGTGAAAATTCTCAGTACTAGCATTATTAAAATAAAGGATAAATTCAAATAATTCAAGCACAATCTCAATCACCTGGTCCAATCTGCAAGTTCTCATCTAATGATGTGAGCTTGATGGGAAGCATGGTTGCTTCATCAATGGGAGACTTCAAAGAACATTAAAAAGCCCCATTCGTCTTTGAATTTTAAAGTGAGGGAGGTTGGTTTGTCTTTGAATTTAAAAGCAAGGGTGGTTGGCAGTCCTGTACACAGTCTGTTAGGACATGACTTAGAAGGTTTGATAATCTGACGTAAAGCATGTTTTCCACTAAGTAACATCATGTTACTCACTATATCACTGTCACATTTTTCTGTCATATGCTAGGAGTACTGTATTTGATTAAGCATCAATCGTAGTAATAATACTAGTAGCTAAGATTTTTTGCCAGATGACTACGTATCAGCCACAGTGCTCTCAACCACCTCTAGAATATGTGATTATTGTCCCATTATTTGAAATTCAGACTCCTTTACAGTACTGCTATAGACTGAGGTGCCTCCTCCCAAAATTCATTTGTTGAAGCCCTAATCTCCAGTGTGATGGTACTTGGAGATGGAGCCTTGGTCATGAAGGCAGAGTTCTCATGGTGGGATTAGTGACCTCATAAGAGGAGACATATGAGAACTTGCTGTCTCTCTCCAGGTACCAAGGTAAGGCCACGTGAGTGAACATCTAGAAGGCAGTCATTTGCAAGCCTGGAAGAGGACATTCTTCAGGAGCTGAACCCACTGGAACCTTAATCTTGGACTTCCCATCCTCCAGAACTGTAAGATATAAACATCTTCTGTTTGAGCCAAATAGTCAGTGGTATTTTGTTACACAGCCTGAGCTGACTGAGACAAGTACATACCTCCTAGGATGGTTGTTAGGATTAGATAAGTTAATACATACAAGTAGGTGTGATCTTTAAGTCTGCAGAGAAGCAATATGTTTTTAATGACATATTGGAAAAGTATTTTTTCTGAATTTTTACAAATGATAAATAATAGGTAAAGTGGCTTTAGCAAAAACAAAAAAAATTATTATTTATTTGTAATAAAATGTTATGTGCTGTATTGAGAAATTCCTCCAAGTACTTTATCAGTTATGCTGTCATCCCCTGGAATGCTGAAGGGAGCATATTTTAAGAAAAACTGGATCCAGAGTCAGTTGATACTGGTCCCAGTGACAGCGCTTCTGGCTCATTACTGACAGTATTACAGCTTCGGACAAACTACCAAGCTCCCAAAGCCTGTGCTTCTTTATCTATTAAATAAACATAGAAGTAACTGCCTTGGAACATCACAAGATGGTTAAAAATCAACTAATATCAAATTTCTGAACCAATTTCACATAGGCAATACAAACAGAAGATATTATTGTGAGCCTGCTTAATTCCTCTTCCAATCTTCCCTTTGAGCTTGCCAATAATTCCTCTTCTCTTTTATTTCTTTCACCATCCTTCTACCCGGATAACTGAAACTGAAGTGGCCTCTGTGAAATGGAATTAGTGTGGAAGGGACAAAAGGGTAAAGGATTGTTTCAGGGCTTTATCCAACCCACTTCACTCACCTTACGGTCACAATCTGGCCTCCATCTAGGACGACGCCATTCATTTGGGCTATAAAGATGGCAGCCACTGCTTCATAAAGGGCTGTACCATCCATGTTAATGGTTGCCCCGACTGGCAGAACAAATCTAGTCACACGCTTATCAATCCCCAGATTTTCTTCCAAGCAGCGGAAGGTGACGGGCAAAGTTCCAGCACTAACGGACAACAAGAGAGACAAGAGTTATGTCCACTTTAGAGAAGCAGGACAAAGCACAATCTGAAATGCCACTACAAAGTTTTTGTTCTTTGTTCCAATCAAACAATGTGACTTGAAAAAAGCAGCATCTGGAACTAAATTAAAACCCATCGATTTGCCATATAGGACATTACACAGTATTGAATAGAGTTCTGTACTCCAGTAAAAAATGTTTTAAATCCAAATAAATTTTAATTCTAGCAATAAAGCAAAACAAAAAACAAGACAAAAACAAACAAAAAAACCTTGATTTGGAGGCTCAAATTCAATCTTATTAAGGTGCTAAATAGGCGGCAAAATATTTTTGTTGGTTCTAGTTTTTGAGATCTACTCAGAGCTTTAAATTCTCCTTTCCCTTTGGTCCCTGTTTCCATCTTGGATTAAATATTCAAAACCTGTGTGATTGCCCACATTAAGTGGGCTGCAGAAAAAGGTATCAGAAAAGGATCAGCTACCAATAGTAAGACAGAATGAGGAATTTTTGAATGACCCATAATTTTATGCTAGAAACATTGTTTCCAACAAGATTAACTACATGGGTTGTACCCAGCCCCTGGGAATTGCCCTGAGCTGGCCTGCTAATTTTGAGAAAGCTGGACAAATATGGTAAACACCATTCAGTAAGAATCCAAGTTTCTAGCAATTCCCTGGGGATCCTCACAGACATTCCAACTCCCTGATAAAAGATCATTGCCAACTCTATAGAGTCTCTCCTATGAAATAGGGCAGAAAAGCTCTGTAGCTAATCAAAGACCCAAAGTGGAGTGACTTCACTCCCACTCCTCCCAGGCGTGGCATGCAAATTCATGACCATATGAATCAGTCTCAAAGGCCAGAACTCCTGACATGTTCGGTGTCTTCTAAAACAGGAGACCTACTAGAGTAAGGGTTGCTGAAAACCAGACTATTTATTTCCATGTGGATAGATGTGATGGGAGAGCAAGTGGATTTGCTTCAAAGTTTAAAGAATATGGGAAGCAACACAGAACATTCCAATTGCCATGGGAATACCTTGTGAGCCATTCTCTTTTTTCTTATTTAAACTTTAGCAAACTGACTTGAGAGAAACCCCTAATGTGGACGGCACATTTTTCTTTCTTGCCTTTACAGCCTTAGTCATAGTTCCCTCCTACTTGTCAGAATTAGGGCTCTAGCCAAGCTGGACAAAGACACCTGCAAAGGTCTCGGTTTCTCAGAGAGTGGAAGAGGACTGTCAGCTTCAGGCATGATAAATAAAATGCAGGTTCCAGGATCAACTCAGAACCAAGGACCCTGAAGCTCCAAACTTAGGGTCTCCTAAATCTGCACCTTCACATCCCACAGACCCACAAGCCCTATTAACAACCTTAGAGAAGCCAGAGTCCTCTTACTGAACCATTCTTTGTGATTTCAGGTCAGGGGTCTGTCTCATGCCTCCTCTTTGGTTTTAGGTGGGGAAAAGTTATGGATGTTTGGAGACCTCTCATTAAAAAAACCCTAGGAACCCAGGGAAAAGGTTGGGGTCTGGCCTCATTTACATGCGGGGGTGTCGTACCTGGCTTGCTGCCCCAGCTATTTCAAGAGAAGTTAGTGTCCTTTGACTTCCCTGGTAGCTCAGATGGCAAAGAATCTGCCTGCAATGCAGGAGACCCAGGTTGGATCCCTAGGTGGGGAAGGTCCTCCGGAAAGGGAATGGCAACCCACTCCAGTATTCTTGCCCAGAGAATTCCATGGACAGAGAAGCCTGGTGGGCTACAGTCCATGGGGTCACAGAGTCAGATACAACAGAGCAACTAATACTTTCACTTCACTTAGTGTCCTTTATTCCTCTCCCACACCCCCAGCCCCTTCCTAAGACCCTCTGAGGTCACAGGACTCCATGACTGGTCTGAAATGGCAGCATAGCTGTGGTGGGCAGCTAGATTCTCACTGGTATGAATCTAAGGATACTGCTGGGACGACTGGAATATATCCACTATTATTACTACATTCATTTCCCTACACTGTCATCAAAGGGTCTTTAGACAACTCAACAGACTGAGGAACACAATTAGTGAGGCATGAAAATATTCTTACTGCCACTAGGGGATATGGTTTGTGTATTAAAAATTCATATGCACCCCATCAGTCCAAATTGGGATTTGAGGATTTTAACTCTTTCTTGTATTGACAGGCTGACATTCTGACATTGTTTTTTTTGGCTCCTGCCTCCATGATCATATGACATTCTTCAAATGTTGCTGATTATAACTGTCTGGTACTCGAGATTTTTCTTTTTTTGATTATCCAGATTAGTTTTAACAGCAGGCACTGAAGTCAGAGGGATGCAAAGAGATGTGTCCCAGGCCACCACCACCACAAACTGGCTGCCCTGACACCAGCCCCTGTGCCTATTGAGAAAATGGGGCCAACCCTCCCCTCTATGTCGCATTCAGGCCAAGGTCCGAGGAGGTAGAAAGTGTATTCAACTGGCTGTCCCTGGGGCTTTTCCCTTGTAGTCATAGTGGAAAAGAAACCCTGCATTAATTCTCAGTACAAGACTCCTGCCACAGTGACCTTAAAAAGAAAATAAAAGAAATTCTACATCCAGGCAAAGCCACATTTTAACCAAAGATTAAAACCATATTCTTTTTTCAAATGAAATACAAGGTAAGGGGGAGAAATGAGTCTAATGTTTGTTGTCTTGGTCAGATAACTCAAGAATTTATCTTTGACTTAAATATAATTTGGGGTTTTCTCTATGATTTTAAGATTTACCTTTGTCGTATAAAGGGACTAGGATAATTGTCTAGTCATTCAAAAGAAAAGATAATATTTTGAGATAGTATAGATATCAAAACCATAATAGCATTGGAACAAAATATAAAGTAATATTTTACAATCTTTGGTGGAAAAGATATTCCTAAGCAAAGTCAAAATTTTAAATGCTAAAGGAAAATATTGATGACTTTGTGCTCAGTCGCATCAGTCATGTTTGACTCTGCGACACTATGGACTGCAGCCCGCCAGGTCCTCTGTCCGTGGAACTTCCCAGGCAAGAATACTGGAGTGGGTTGCCATGCCCTCCTCCAAGGAATCCTCCTGACCCAGGGATCAAGCCTGTGCTTCCTGAACTGCAGGGAGATTCTTTTTATCACTGAGCCACTGGGGAAGCTCCACAAATTAAAACCTGCTAGTGATACAAAGCACGGTAAATTTTTAAGACAAATATCAAGTGAAGAGGGGCATTATTTGCAACATATGATACATGAGTTGATATTTTTATACATGAAGAGAACTGAAAACCAATCAGGGAAGGATAAATACCCCAACAGGAAACTCAGCTCACAAACAATTCGCAGGGCAGGGGAGGGAAGGGAAGGATAGTCAAAAAGAACACAAAAAGATGTTTTCCCACCCTAGGAATCAGAGTGACGCAAATTCAGTGAGATCACTTTTCACCAATAGGTTTGGAAAGTGTTAAAATGACTGCTTTTATGTCCCCAGTTAGTAGGGACATAAACTAACATACTTTTCCAAATTGTAATCTGGTGATATGCTTCAAAACTATCAATGTGCTTACCATCGGATTCAGAAACTCGAAATTTATCCTGAAGGGATCATCAGACATCCTTGCAGAGATGTATTTACAAGGATGCATGTCACAGCCCTATTCAATATACAAGGCTTAAATGTACATTTGGGATGGGGTTGTATTATAGTACATACAGTATATTATTATGAAGTTTAAAAATAATAGTGATAGAAATATAGTTATAGTAAGAGCTATATTAATAGACATAACATAACTCTTATGATATGTTAACCAGTGAAAATTTTGTTATTTTTGGTTTAGTCACTAAGTTGTGGTCCTCTTTTGCAACCCCATGGACTGTAGCCTGCCGGGCTCCTCTGTCCATGGGATTTCCCAGGCAAGAATACTGGAGTGGGTTGCTATTTCCTTCTCCAAGGGATCTTCTCGACTCACTTTAGCAATGTACAATATCTGCACATAATAAGAACTGGAAATGCATATAACTGTAAAGATTAGCTAAAATGTTACTACGAGGTATCAGTAGTGATGCCTGTTTTTTCTCCAAACTTTTATTCACTGTCTGAACTTGTTCATAATGAGAAAACATCATGCTCATAACTAGAAAACAAAAATAAAACTAAACCTGATTGTTTTTATTTTTGAAAAAAGTTAACTTTTTCACTAAAAAGACAGGATCTTTATGGCTAGAACTCTTTAACCATAAGAAGTTTATAGGACCAAGAAGGAAAAAGGAAATCTTGGAGTGCTTTCCTCAATCTCGGGAAACCAAACGCAGAATCTAGATCTCCCAGGTTGTACATATTTTCACTTTTTCTGAAACCTTACATTTTACTAGTCAAAACTTCTCATTCATTTGCAAGATGGAAATATAATTTGGCTTCCTAGGTATCACCACTATGGGCCTACTATGTAACTTAAGAAAAACATGATGGTCTGCTCAGTAGTTTAGAAGCAGCAGTTTCCCTGTGTCACAGAGCAGCTGCCTCCCTGGCAGAGCATGGTCATGGGCTCTGTAACAAAGACTTGCCGATTTGTGACTCCAGAGATAACACTAAGCTGTGGGTTGCAGTTTGTCTGTCTCCCTCCCACCTGCTTTATGGCCTCAGTCTTGGTTTCAGGAACCAAGGATACATGTGCAGAAATAAAAGCAAATATTGCAGGCTTAGAGAATAAAACTCTTTTAGTCTTGGAAATTCTACATTGCTTGGTGTTTCTATGTACTTGTTTTTGTTGAGTTGTTGGTTTATTTTTGCTAAATTCAGTCCAAAATGGTATCCAAGGAAGAAGAGATTTTGCTTTTTTTGTCTGCATATCTCTGGAGTCCTCGCTGGCTTCCAAGCCACTGGAACTAGGTAACGAAGAAGGAACCAACTCTTAGTCAATGTCAAGTCAAATCAACACCAACATGACTTTCCTCAAAATCAATGGGACTGAATAGTCCACTACAGGTTCAGAGACTTGTCTGATTTCTGGTTTCCCTGAAAAATCTCATCTAACCTACCATTCACCCTGCAAAATCTTTTTCTCTTATTCTTGAAAAATTACTCAATAGAGTGATATGCTGTAATAGCATTTTTCAAATCACAGGTGAGAGGATTTCTTAAATACAATAGCATCCTGTTACACCCTTTTGGAAAACATTTAAAGCTGAATTAACACTATATGCGCTTCCCTGGTGGCTCAGATCATAAAGAATCTGCCTGCAATGTGGGAGACCCAGGTTCGATCCCTCTGTTGGGAAGATCTCTAAAGAAGGGAATGGCTACCCACTCCAATATTCTTGCCTGGAGAATATCATGGATAGAGGAGACTGACAGGCTATAGTCCATGGGGGTCACAAAGAATCAGACATGACTGAGCAACTAACACTTTTCCTTAATGCTATATCTGGCAAATTATGCCTAGAGATGAACAGTAGGCATTCACCTGGGAAATGTTGTATGAGATCATAGTTCCAGGACAGCGGCATACCAGCAAAAAGTTCATCAGAAAAATCAAAAGTTCCTAAACGGAGCCAAGAATCTATAGAGTGCTACCCTTTCGAAAATATTCTAATAATATGTGAAAAGTGTTCTCATTGAGTATTGTGATGGGAAGGTTTTGAAAAGGGAGTGGCAAAGAAGTTAAAGGAGCGAGCAGAGAGAAACGGTGATGTCTGGTGTTCTCTACCTGGAAGCGGTACCCAGGGCAGTGATCCAAGCTTGGAAAATGCCAGCGAAAAAGGAGAAAGGGTTTTTCCTGGTCACTAGAAAGTAAATCAAGGGGAGGAAGATCCCCCCATGGATGATGAGGCCGACAATCACCGTGATCATGTACATCCCCAGTTGCCTAGCAACCACTTCTAAGTCCTTGATTGCGATGATCTTCCCACAGATTAGGCAGGCAATACCCAGAGGAGAGTACCTGAAAAACAGAAAAGAGAAAGCATGAAGGAGCTGGCGATGGGACTCAGAACTTAAAACCTGGGCCCTCCTAGGGACCACACCCTGAGGAAAACCCTGCACATTTCTGTACGAAGAGTGTTCACAAAAGAGGACCGGGAGACTCAGTACATACTGTATTTTGCTTCTGACTAGCCACATTATCCGAAATCTTTCCTATGGTCCCAGTGGCTCCTGATCTGATGAAAAACCCCAAGATAAACTTTGTTGCTCAGGTAAATTTTTTTTTCATTTATTTTTATTAATTGGAGGATAATTACTTTACAATATTGTAGTGGTTTCTGCCATACATTGACATGGCTCAGCCATGGATTTACATGTGTTCCCCATCCTGAACCCCTCTCCCACCTCCCTCCCCATCCCACCCAGGTAATTTTTTAGGGCTAGAGGAGACAAGTTTTACCGCCTCTTAAGTAAGCACCACGCTTAAAGTTAAGAGACACCCAGGTTACATCTTTGATAATCTTGTTTGACTTCTCTATTCCATATCTCCCTTCTTGAAAATTGAGAGTAAATCTAGAGCTTCCCAGAAAACTCATTCGAGTTTCATCAATTTATGGACACTGGGGTTTGTAAATTGTGCTTTGTTTTTGGCTTGGAAGGAATCTAGAAAATACAAAGAAAGAGAGAGAGAGCTGCCCAAACAAGAAAATCATATGAGCCAATGAGCATGTTTAGAGAAACGTGATTTTATCACTTCCAAGTGTTTCTTTCTCTACTTACTCCAGAAAGAATGCTGACTGCCACTCATCATATTTCAAGCATTATGGCGGGAGATCCACATATTTAATTCTTACCACAACCCTAAAACCAAGGTCTCTTTATGGCTGTTTGGCAAATGAGGAAATTGAGGTTTGGAAAAGTTAAATAACTGGCACAAGATCATGAAACCAGGAAAGAGGAGGAGGAGAATAATCTCAGATCTGTGAAACTCTACCACTGGGGGTTTTCACCTCTACCCACCAAACCACTTCCTTGAAGGAGCAGTTGTAGCTTTTTGTACAAAAGCAAACAATTTGCCACCTACCAATCTATCCTAAAGTAAACTTATTTTCTATTTCTATGTTATTATTATTTTATAGTATGCTTGGAAACAATCTACTGTTGTCCTCACTCTTCATTCAGCCAACCATGTTCTTTCTCTCTCACCTTGGGTATACTTTTCACATGTTTGGCAACACCCCTTTTTCCACTGCTTAACCTGCTGGCGTTGGAGCATGAAATTGTTCAGCCTGTGACACTTCTGACTGAAATGAATATGTCTGTGGGAACACTGCTACCTTATTAATAATTTTGAATATATTTGAAAGAAAGACAGTGGGGCAAATGAAGTCAGGCTCCCAGCTGAGGGAGGGGGGTCAGAAAAAAGACAAGGACAGTGAGCAGATTTGGTGGGTTTTTTCCTATCAGTTGTGTTTGGAGCAAGCAAGCACTTCCTGGGTTAAAGCAAAGCCATGAGGAGGAGTCATATGCACAATTACACGAGACACGGAGCCTCTCCAGCCATTTACCAGCTCTATGACCTTGGTTGGTGACTTACTTCCATTTTACAGATGCAAGTCAAGGCTCAGAGAGGCTAACTACAACTTCATGGGATCGCTGTGAGAATTGGGTTTTGTTTTTTTTTAAGTCTTTACTTAATGTATCACAATACTGCTTCTGTTTTATGCCTTGCCTTGTTGGCCGCAAGGCATGTGGGATCTTAGCTCTCCGACTGGGGATCAAACCTGCACCGCTGGCATTAGAAGGCGAAATCCTAATTACTGGTCCACCAGGGAAGTCTGTGATTACATTTTTGAACTTGCATATATGCACACACTATCAGAAGTCCTGCCCCCCACCAATCCCTGTTAGGACCATTAGTTCTCTGATTGCTGACACAGGTGTGTGTGCTTAGCCATTCAATCAAGTTCGACTCTTTTCGACCCTGTGAACTGTAGCGCACCAGGCTCCTCTGTCCATGGCATTTCTCAGGTGAGAATACTGCAATGGGTTCCTATTTCCTCCTTCAGGGGATCTTCCCAACCCAGGGACTGAACCCACAGCTCCTCTGTCTCCTGCATTGCTAGCAGATTCTTTACCCACTGAGCCATGGGGGAATACTCCTGACACAGGAGTCCCTTGCATGTTCTGTTTCCACACATCTACTCCATGTCCCCTCATCACCATGCTGAATGAGTCAAGTCTGAGTTAAAGAGACTTTCTAAGGCTTCCTTGGTGGCTCAGATGGTAAGGAATCAGCCTGCAATGCGGGAGACATGGGTTCCATCCCTGGGTTGGGAAGATCCCCTGGAGAAGAGAAAGGGCTACCCACTCCAGTATTCTGGCCTGGAGAATTCACGGACAGAGGAGCCTGGCAGGCTACAGTCCATGGGGTTACAAAGAGTCAGACACGACTGAGTGACTTTCACTTTCAAGGTATCTCACAGGCTATTGCCACCCAACTACAGATGATTTTATGAGTAAGCGCTCAAGATCACCACTTAAAGTGATGAAGCAAAGCCATAAATCAAAGTGCATGAAGAGGCTGAGAACTCTTGTGAGGTTTCTAAAGCCAAGTGATGCCCAGCAGTTTCTAAATGAGAAGGATATGACTACAGGGTTGGGGGAGGAAAAGGCTCCCATGCTGCCCTGAAACTGGCTGTATCCTCAGCTCTGGGCAGCATTTTCAAAGTCATTGATTCATCCAGGACTGGTCTGTGGCATCTTTTTCTTACTGTTGCATCACTCTTTCCTTCCTCCGCCCATTCACACCTCAGTTCTTGTTATCTTAAGGTTCTCACCAAGGTCTGCTCTCTACTCCACAAACAGGCTCATCCACAGCACTAATATACGCTGATCTCAGTCCATGTAACCACAGACTCCTGCCTCCAAATCACCTGGCCTACCCGAAACAACATGGATTCCCTGAACCCACCACACACCGACTGAGTTAGAACTTCCTAGAGCTAGCCTCGGGGCATTTATATCTCAAACAAGTTCCCCAGGTCATTCTGACATGTTTAGAAATCAGTGTTTTCAGCAATAAAATCTGATCTGCAATGGCTGAAATACAGATATTCCATGGTTAGTCTTTGGAAACCATTTCCTTAATTATTTAGCTGCAATTTATTCAAGACTTCCAGTTTTAACCCACTAAAATGATTAACCGGGGACTTTCAAGGACAGGACAGATGGTGGGCCAGATGCTTGGAGTGGATAGAGGTAAGTGAAGGGACTTTCTCAGTCCTGCCCTGAAGTCACTGTGGTTCCGTCCCACCCGTTGCCAATAACAACACCGGTCTACCAGCTTGGGGCAGATTTCAAGAGAACTCGAGTTGGAAGAGCTTGTCAATAAAGATGAACATTCCAAAAATTACCCAAGGTGCTGTCCGTATTCAGGGTAAGGAAGAAACACAAATCTCCATTTTCCCATTTTATTTCAGGAGAGTTTCTGGCTATCCAAAAAGTCACTTTTGCTGAGAGTTACCATATGGGGGTTAGAACTTTTTATCAGGATAGAGTGAAAGTCAGTTCCAGGCTCCATTATATCACTAGTGCCTAACATTGTTGTTGGCAGAGAAGACATGCTGAAAAGTATTTTGGAAGTGAAAGAGTGAATGGATGGATGGGTGGTTGGGTGGACTGGGGGTGGATGGATGGTGGTAGTGGGTTAACTGAGAGGGAGAATTGAAACAGTGAGGAGAGATTTCACTTCTTACTTTATGTTTCTATGGTGGTGAGATTATGAAAAGTTTTACTTTCTATATGTTTTGCAGATTTTGAAAAAAAAAGTTTTAAAGCACTCTGCAAAAAATAAGGATATGAAAATCACACCAAAATTAAGAGTTGTTCTTTCTTTGTTTTAGGTGATTCAGAGGGCTTTGCAGGCTTCTTAAGGAATTCATGAGCACAGAGAAACAAAGGTTATGGATTGAATTGATAATAATGGTAATTACAATATAATAACAATATTGTGCCTGCAAGCTTGCTAAGTCACTTCAGTCATGTCTAACTCTTTGCGACCCCATGGACTGTAGCCCACCAGGCTCCTCTGTCCCTGGGATTCTCCAGGCAAGAATACTGGAGTGGGTTGCCATGCCCTCCTCCAGAGGATCTTCCTGATCCAGGAATTGGACCCACATCTCCTGTGCCTCCTGCAGACAGATTCTTACTGCTGGGCTACCAGTTAAGAGAAAGTCGCGCAGTCATGCCTGACTCTTTGTGACCCTATAGACTATACAGTGAACTGAACTGAGACTATACAGTCCATGGAATTCTTCAGGCCAGAACACTAGAGTGGGTAGCCTTTCCCTTCTCCAGGGGATCTTCCCAACTCAGGGATCAAACCCAGGTCTCCCGCCTTGCAGGCAGATTCTGTACCAGCTGAGCCACAAGAGAAGACCCCTGAGCCACGAGGGAAGCCCTAATGACAATACTAGTTCATATAAAATGCTTAGGCAGGTCCCAGCACACAGGAACTGCTCCACAACTATTTGTCACAATTTCACTCAATTTTCAAAGCAACCTATGATGTGGATTCTATGATCAATCCATCTCACAGGTCAAGATGAGGATTGTAGAGTGTATCTAACTTGCCTAATGTCACTCAGCTCATAAGAGGAGGACCCCAGGTTCAGATAGAAGTTGAGTTTAATAACACTTCTCTAAATTCCCATTACTAAGGCCATGCAACACTGGGCAAGCTAACCAATGTGCATGGTTTTCTCATCTAGAAAATGAGGCTCACCAAAGTACCTATTTTTGCTAGGTCTTCAGTTCAGTTCAGTCACTCAGTTGTGTCTGACTCTTTGTGACCCCACAGACAACAGCATGCTAGGCTTCCCTGTCCATCACCAACTCCCAGAGCCTACTCAAACTCATGTCCATCGTGTCCATGATGCCATCCAATCATCTCATCCTCTATTGTCCCCTTCTCCTCCTGCCTTCAATCTTTCCCGGCCTAAGGGTCTCTTCAAATGA